TTTTCATAGAAATAGCATATATACCATGGGTGTGAACAATAGCAGAGTCATGCTAGCCCTCATGAACAGGATTTATCCCATGAACATCAAAATGGTTCAAACACAGACGTCATGATTGGACATAAAACACCGACTCCATTATTCTGCTGTAAATCCATGCTTCTTGGTTATTTGCTTCGACATCAAGTACAAATATATACGCCACAAGTAAACGGCCTTAATCTTTACTATGCGTAGGATGTCAGGGTGAGTACTCAAGGTTCCCAGTTGTCACTCATCCAGTCATGGACAGAACAGGCAAACCAGGGTGAATGGGATGACTTTAACCGCTCCTGTAGTCTTCCATTGGCACATGATGATTAGGTAAGCAGGACTTTGGTTTAAGGCTGGGGTTAACGAGACGCTCACCGGGTTGCAGTTTAACAAATTGCACTACTGGATTATCTATTATGTTAATATTTCTTATGTTTGAGGCCCTTCAACATCCAATCAAGTGAAATAATCGTACTTTGGAGGGAGTGTAAATGCAAGCAGGCATTTGTTTGAAATAACGTCCAGGGGTGTTAATTCACTAAAACCTATAAATGATGGTAAAGTTGCTTTTGAGTAGATATTATTTGGCCAGTGACATTTCATGTCTTGTGTACACCATTTGTATGTTTCCCTTTATGCTTTCCAAATACATTCCTTTCATATTTGCTTGAATGATGAACCCCACAGGTTTTTCCCACGACGCACCAACACCTCTGTACACATTGAAACAGCTCATCACTCAGGACTGAACTTGGAGCTTTGACACTCCGAACCCCACTGAGCATACTGATCCTCTCTTTCTCTCGCTTTCTCTGTGTCTGTCACTTCCAATTTTATTCCCTCGGATTCTCTGACTCATCTTCCCCCATCTTTAGGTCCCTCTCTCCCAGTCCCCGTACCTGCACATGCCTCGTTGGATGTTCACCTTGAGCAGCTGTCGAGTCGCCCCCTGTAGCCCTCAGATAGACAGAGCGTCTGGCTCAGGTCTGCCTTCTGCTGCTTCCGAAAAATATGTCAATTTGGACCGCGGCCAGCGGGAGAATGGAGTTGGTGCCCCAGTGAGAGTTTATGTGTGTGCTTGGATTAGACCCGATACAGGACAATTACCACTTCAGGTTCAATAGCATTACGGTTCTTAGGCACGTCCGTACTTTAATCGCCCACTACATCAGATTAATGTCCAATGATCCAGATTCTGTTCACCCCCATGAAACACAGGTGAATGAGAAATTTAGAAAAGTTCACCGTGTCATGTTTGAGACAAGATGTTCAACAGCGTGTTTCCTTTGATCGATCACAAAAGAGAGACCCTGTTTTCCAAAGACATCACAGGATGCAGCCGTTACTTTCAGACAGCGTGATGTCAATAGTTAAAGGACTTCAAACTCTTGACAGGTGAGACAATCCCTTTTCAAAACAACAATAAGTTCTGGACATGGTTAAGCGCAGCCCGATAATCAGACTGAATCGCCATTTAGTTTCCCATCATTCATTGAGCTTGTCATTGCGTTCATGTTGGCTGATTTGTTGTTGGATATCTTGTTTTGTTTGAATGATGATGAAGTTTATCTGCCCTGCCATGCCAGTCTCAGTCCATGTAGCAGCATTCAATTCAAGAGTTGTTAGTTTATTAGTTTACTTACTTAAAAACTTGTGCAGCTGCATAAATCATCATTATTGCTTGTTGACATTTCTGTCGCCATTATTATTTTGCTATTTTTCATGGAAGTAGCTACTTAGCTTTTTAAAAAACATTTTCCAACAAGCTCTAATGGGATCCAACCAGAGGTAATGGAACAACACCACACCTGTTTGAAGCAGATCACAGTTGTGTGCAGTGATTCAGAGGTCTGGAACCAGGCTAGCCTAGCTTAGCACAAAGACAGGAAACAAAGGGAAACTGCCAGCCTTATTCACAACTGACTACATTTGGCAAACAAGCACATCCTCCAAATTTGTGACCTGCTCTTTTTAAAGAGTAAATGTTGAGAGTCAGGGCTAAAGTACACTCGATCAAACTAGTTCGTACGACGTGTTGTTTGATCACGTCAGAAATTGGAAGAGTTGTTATGAAACGCTACACTTGAGCCCCCGGAAGACATTGAAATTGTTGCACTTGGTCATTTATATGAAAAGTGACAGAAATAGTTGTGGCAAGAATGGAATAAAGGGAGCTGAGAGGAGGTCTAATCCTGGCTGCTTTCTCAGCTGGTAGTGAAGCTCAATGGTTTTGGAAAACGTTATGTATCAGATGTCAGAAAGAAATGCTGGGAGGGTTTCTATACATAATAATCGAGGAGAACAATGGAAAGGAAAGTACGTGTACATGTGAAGAATCGAGAATCGGGTCCTTGTGCTGTTTTTCTTCTTCATCACAGAAAGAGACTAAATGCATCACAGCCACGAGTCTTTCCCTGCTTTCACCCGGCCCACCTGTGCCGACGGGAGCAACAACAACCACTCTGACTCCAGCTTCTAACGGCCACCAGCTACACTCCCCTTGAAAAAACCTTGACATTCAAATCAAAGTGTCTACTTTGTCGGACGCCCTTGCTCTTTAATTCTGCCGCGTTCCACTCTCCAGCCACGATGCCCCACTTCAAGTATCATATGCTTCAAAAAGGTCTCTGTTTCCAGCTGACTCGTCTTAAAACAAGTGTGGAAAACATCCAATGCCGGCTCCATGCTTCCACATGTTCAGGGGTGGACTTAAGCGAACAAGTCACAGTTTTGTGTCAAATCTTGTTCCAATGCCTTTAAAAATCATTTATAAAACTCCACCTTGTGCTTATTATTAGTGTAAATAAAGTGCTTCCTCTTCCTTACTTATCTTATCTCTTATCTTTCCTATCGCTGATTCTTTGTTTCTCCTCTTCCCTTTACTCTATTCCACCTCTCTTGTTTACCAGGTGAAGCGTCCATCCAGGCCGACCTGAAGCAAAAACAGGTGATAAATGAACGGAGGAGCGAGGGATAGGCAGCGAGCCGGGTCCCGATTGAGAGAGAGAAGAGCTGATGCGTGGAGGGAGAAAGCGGCTAACGGGAGTCTGAGCGTGGAAATAATGAGAAACTGGGGAAGCTGGGAGGTGAGAGAAGTGAGGACAAGACCGGTGAAGGGGAGAAACCCGGGAAGGGATGGAGCGATAGACGAGAAAGAGAGCACTGTGACAGAGGGATAGAGAGTGAGGGGAAAGTCATAAATGGGAGAATGGAGATAGAGGAGGAAAGAGAGAGGCTGATAATGGAGGGAGAGGGTGAAAGATACGGTGTGCTGGCACAACCGACGATTGAGATGAGAAAGTAATGTCTGACTCTCTCAGCACGGGGACGTATTTAAGTAGGCAAGGCATTGTGTGAAATCCAGCATGTGTGTACGTGGTGCTGATTAGCAGTCATCTCGACCCAGCGAGGCATTCAGACATTCACTCATTATCCCTAATGCGGCTCAGCAAGTGTGCCGAGTTCAGCTCCGCGGCGATGTTCCGTCTGAATTTTCTGTGCTGGTGAGCGTCAGTGTTCAGGGGTCCGGGTCCGACACATTTGCAATTATGTGGATAACACATCTTAATTAATCGGGAAGCAGGAAGAAGACAATGACGTTTTATCTTTAGCTGGATAATTCTGATGAAGTCCAGTGTGCTGCAAGTAATAATGATTTTCCCTCATTGAATAATCTATCCATTAGGTTACCATTGTTCCACTTTTCTCAACAAGCATCATGAAAAGACCAAAACTTGTTAGTCCGTCTCTCAGTACTTTCCCACTTCCCTAGCCTGTCTGTGGCACTGTAAGCCCACTTAAAATAATCTGCATGTTCATAGCAATGAAGAAATGTGACACTAGCCGTGTTTACATTCAATTGTCAAGCGAATTTTGCGAATGCAAATGAGGTGTTTTTCCAGCAACTGGTTTGGTCATTGCTCATTGGTGTCTTTAAAATAGTTTAAAAACAATGGAGCTCTATGACACGGAGCAATAACCTACTTATTAGGTTTGGCAAAACAGACAACACTTGTTGTAACAGAAGGATCAATTCACTTTTGATTTTGGTCTTTTCGTTAGATTTTGAATGGAAATATGGAATATTATTAGTTATTACACCCCTATGTCCACGGACACAATGACTGAAAAGATAAGAATCTCATCTCTCGGCATGTAGATGACAAAATTATGCAAGTTGTAATTGTTCTCCCAAGCTGCTGGCAGTTTCGGCGATCAACTCCACCGTGGGTCTTTAGTGAATTTACACCTGGATTTTATGCATTTTTTCCCCTCCATCCCATTATAGCCTTGCATTGTAATGATACTTTGAGAGGGGATCTGAGAGAAAACGGTTTACATTTCAAAAGCCCAGTGGATTATCTGTGTGCTTCGACAGCCTGGCATCCCTGCTGTTCTCCAGCCAAAACAAGAGTGGAAACCCAGCCAAACATCGCCTGGTGTATTCATTTCATTAGGAATGATGCCCCGCATGTCTCCGTCCTTATTCCCTGCGCATCCTGTTGTAGCCCACAGATAGCATATGGTGCTGAATATGCAGTGATGAACAATAAACCTCAATGTGAACCTAAATCTGTCATTTTTCCAGCCATGCCAATCTTTTCAAAGTTTGACACTGAAGCTAACTTCTAATCATCAAACCTGGAAATTGTTGTAAAATGTTGACGTGGAGTTAAGTGGCGATAAGAGAGTGCCTGGTCAATCCTTGAACTTTGTCTGAATCACGGCGGTATTCAGACGATGTCATCCAGGAAAATATGGTGTGCAGTAAAAAAGTGTCACATTTTTATCCCCCGAACTGACAAGGGCGTTAAGGTACCAGTTCAAGAGAGGACAGAACAACAGATGCATCATTCAACCGATGGCAGGAGACAAGACTCAGCGTGCAATATTTCTGACCCAAGAACAAAAATGACACCGCAATCAAGACCGGGATTGTGAGGGCTCAAACAATCACAATAGGAGGAGCACCAAACGTCAATGTGCTTATTAGAGAGACACCGACACGGAAAGACAGGGAGACGGATGAGCTGCTACACAAAGGGCTGTAATAAAGACAGAAAGGAGGGAATGCGGATGGAGGGATAGAAAACAGAGCTCAGCTTGTTTAGTTGTGTGCCGACCGATACCTGGACCTGAAAGACCAGCTATTCTTGCGAGGCAACTTACAGTTCTACCATCTCTTACCAGTGATATAAACCAGAAGTGGACTAAAAGAAATAAATACTCAGACATTCATGATTGATGATCTGCTCCTGGGATTCGATGCCACTGATGGAGAGTATCCAGAATGCATGATTCAAGCAGTTGTTGTGAAGAGGAAATGATGTCCCCTCCTATGCTTTGAGTGACAGCCGTGTTATGTCTCTATATTGACTGTCCACTCAAAGTAGGCTAACAGTCCAGTTTTTGGTCACAACAAAGGTAAAAGTAGGTTCGTCCTCCTCTGTTTCCCTCCTTTGATTCTGAAAGTTCAGACTCGTGTCCGTTGTTTTTGCAGAGTTCTTCCTTGTGTAGAGAAGAGTCTCTGTCATGGTTTATCGCTCCTTCGGTATGACGGGGTCTGAGAATGGCTTTCTGTTGGTCTCAGGGTCTGGAGGAAACACATTTACTGAACTTAATGAGAGATACAAGGACAGGAAGAGTTCAGATATCATGAGGAAACAAAAGCACCTACCAGGCCAAACATCGACAGAATTAAAAGTGTTTGATTTGTCTACTGTTGCTACACCTGTTAAGCTTTCCATTTTAGCACTGCAGAAACTGCAGTGTAATAGTGGCAGATTCACTACTGACCGGACCGGACCGGTTTTCAGTGGGTCGCGGGCCTTTGCCTGACAAAAAAATAAAAATAAAAAATGTTGTGATTTTATTTTGAAGGGCATTTTTTATGCAGCGGAATTATTCCAGCATTTACGGCAGGAAAAACACCGACCAATGCGTTGTGATTCACATCAGGTGATGAAGCTCAGCCAATCAAAAATGGGTATTCTGACAAGTTTCGTGACTTGAGTGAGATGAACACACACCGTGACACAGGGGGGAGAGACGAGGACATATGAGCAGAGCAGGACTATTTATTGAGGTGTGAGTCGTGAAAGTCAAATCATAGGACGACCTCCAAAAGAGAGAAATGGCCAGAGAGACCAGAGTCATTAGACTCTGAAGAATTCACCTACATGAGTCTGTCCAGTCAAACACTAATTTCTCTTTTTAGAAGATGAGAAAAATATAATATTATGGCTTTTTCACTCCACCCTGAATGAACTGAATTTAAAGCTGCAGGGCAATTCAGTGAAAATAATTTTGCCAAAATGAATTTCGTTAAGTAATTTATTCTTTAATCCAGCCGTTATTTTACTTGAAATGAGAAGAACATTTATTCATGTATTTCTATGTATTACTTGTAATCCATCCAGTTAAATTTGAAAAATGAGAATAATATTAGTTAAAATATAATTGATGTGTACTTTCTTTATTTGATTTGACAGTTGTTTACTACACATATATATATATATATATATAATTTGGGTCGTGGGTCCCGGCTTGTCATTAAGGGGTGATGGTGGGTCCCGCAGCCAGACCAGTTGAGAACCACTGCGCTGGAGCTAACTAGCTAATTAACTCTTAAGTACCTGAGTTGGCTGAAAAGTCTTTATCTCGCTTACTTATTGTTTCCAGCAGACTCATTACAAAACTGGAAGCCCATGAAAGAGTGTTATATGTGTTGTTCGCGTTCGACCTTTAGGTTGTTGCAGAAGCAATAGAACAACATGGAGCACAGACAAAAAAAAGGCTAGAATATGAGGTATTACATAAGATGACAGTCAATGTCCTGTTCCTCACCTGTCCTGAGGTTCGAGGAGTTGGTTATTGCACAAGGCTATGCAGGGCTGGTCTCAGACGTTGCTGCGCAGTAGCCCCCCCCGTGGGTGCTCTGGAGTACTGCACTCTGAGGAGTTCTTGGCTTTGTCCTTGTTGTTGTTGGGCTCGTTGTCTTTAATGATGTCGTACTGACGACAAAACAGAACGATCACCCCTGGGATACATAAAAACGTGATTTTAGCTGATCAAGCTAAAGGAATAGTTTGACACAGATAGTACCGAGCTTCTCATCTAACCATTCGCAAGAGAGGGAATAACCGTGTCTCCAAAAATGTCACAGTATTCCTTTAAAGATCAGAAATAGAAGAGCCATTTATCAAAGCTTCTTAGCTCTAAATTACCTGCATTAAATCACATATTTTCAAATTCAATCGCAACTTTTCACATGGACAATCTATCTTAAAATGTACTGAGAATAATGTTTCTCATCTGCAGTTCCATGACTTTGATATTGGATGGAAATAGATTTGCCAATTTCAACACAGTTTTTGCATTAAACACTGTAAATTTGCTGTCAAGCTTGTAAAAGAAGCATTTAAAGCTACTATACTGCTGTTTGTTTTGCAGCCCTCCCTTTATAACGGTTCTTTGTTTTGCACTGAGGAAGTGATGATATGTAGCAATTTATCTCTATTCACTCAACTGTCTTTGATGTGTCAATAAAGCAAACCAAACTGAAGTGAGAGAAACAGAATACGGTGAAACGTACAGACGAAGATATGAACCTGATGACAAGATAGCCAATTTGAGGCCCGCCTTCAGTCGTGAAGATTAAAAACGTAGCAGAGGAGTTGTAGATGCTGAGAGCGATAGAGACCAAGCATAAAAAAAAAGAAGAAAGAGAATAATTCATGACGGCGGAGGAGCGCGGGGAGGAAATCTGGCCTGAACGGTCTTCAGTCTCGGCTCATCTGCTTGTGTCAGACTCATCTGATCACTGCAATACCAAAGGGCAAGGTGGAGTATCTCACTGTGATATCCCCCACCAGGCCTAATTAAAAGCTGAAGAACACAATTCACCATCAGTCTTTTTCACCATCCTGCCCTCTTTTGTTCTCTTCTCGAGACTCAGATTTTCTCTCTTTTCCCTCCCTCTCCAACTCTCTTTGAATCTCAGCGTCTCGTCCTCTCACGGGAGATCCAAGCCGCTTGCCGTTAATGTATATGCCATGTACAGTATTTGGGCCATATTTGTATCTCATTACACTTGGTGAAGTGGGTTAAGGAAGACATATTTATAGCTGTGTTCTTCAGTAAAACAATGCTGAGATGCACGGAGCTAATGACTGGGAGGCTTAAATAGGAAGCAGCCACAGTCTTGTAATAAAGATATTTTTTGTTGTTGTAAAGATGCAAAGATTAGTCTATGTTGTCATGATGTAAATGTGACTTTGCAAGCGGCCACGCACTCATGTGAAGCAAGCCCTGGAATAAAGTGTCCTTATTATTTATCCTTAGACCAGTTAACATTCCCATTGGGGAAAACAGTAAGCTTTTATGTGAATGTAACAGAAAGCTATAGTTTACCCTCTCTGACTGGCATCAATATATTCTTTAAACATGTGGGAGTCAAAGCTTCTGAAGCTGGAAAGAAGTATTCGCTTTAACATTTCTCGAGTTTATGGGAGTAATTCAGTTTACTGACAGACTGAGCATATTCGCTGGTTTTAGGGGTAAAGTTCAACCTTAGACCCTGAAATGAAATGTTTTTTTTAAAGATGAAAACACCTCTTCTTCTTCCATTACAACCTTGAACGATTCTTATGATGTTAGAGCCCTTGAAATTTGGCACATGAATCAAACACTATATTTCTAGCAGGCGATATAGAAAAGTTTTTTGTATTTTCAAGGGCCAGTAATGACAAATATTACATATGCTTCTGCCTTTCAATCATGTATATCTGTTACACACCATTTTGTCCGTTTGTCCGTGGAGTCATCGGAGAGACCGATGACTCCACCGCCGGTGTGTTTGTCTCTTCACAGACCCTCAGTCACAGAGCTTATTTGCCCCAAAGACAGTGTATCCCTACAAGGTCCGCAGTGATAAATGTGCGTTTCTGAAGAGGAAGATTACCTGCCCACATGATGAGCACCACTACAATGATGATGAGCTCTCCAGCCCTCAGCTGAGCAGCCTGACCAACCTCCTCCATCGTCACCTCGTCTGGAGAGAGAACACACACACACACACACACACACACACACACAGTCAACATAGTTTGACACTGCGATTCATTGTCCCAAAGAGAGAATGTGAAATTGGCATCACTCTGAAAAGTCTGCAAGGAAAGATAAAAGAATAAAGCGGGGCGACGGGAGAGCAGAGAAGCCGCCTGGTGTAAATTTTCCACTCTGGTCCGTTGTGATTAAAGTTAAGTGAGAGCAGAGGTCTACGGAGGCAGAGAGAGGGCAGGATCCCAAACCCCATCACTCACTGTGGTTCTCTTACTGACAGGCAGCTGCAGCATTACACCAGTCACAACGTGAAGGTTTTGAACAGAGTGAACCTCTCATTCTCTGTGTGGTCAAACTGGTGATTTGCCTGGCATAGCGCTGTATGATATCAAAGGGGTTGCATGATTCACGGTCACTTAGATGTATTTGCTTTTTAAGAGGGGTCTACGGAGCTAGGTAAAGGGGGTTGGCCTTGAAACTATAAAACTGTAAATACAGCATTATTTTTACTAGAACAGCTTACTGCTGCAGTTTAAGGAATCGCCACAGTCAATAAAATCTCAATGCAATAAAATACCCATTTGGCAGCAAAACCCTGTAAGTATAAAATGGTATTTCATTTAATTTTGTTCTTACATTTAGAAGTAAAAAAACATTATTCAACTGTAAGTTAGTCAACTGGAAAATAATGTTTTTTTATGGATACGCGGCGCATTAATCATGATTTGGCACAGCCCGTGCAAATAATTCTCCCGTATTTCACCAGGAGAGCAGATTTAAACATTAAGTCAACATCCAGGCTGCAGCTGAAGAACAACACCAACAAACCTCTGAAGCATTTCAAAGAGTCTAAATGTTTAATCACGCTCTGGGTTATTTTCCAGAAGTAAGAAAACCTCATTCAAAGTCACGTTTGCCGATCTTGTTTCAGAATATTGAGGGTAAACCACAAGAACGACAGAA